TTATGCATGTTTTCTATGAAATATAATAGAATGTTTAAGAGCATCGAAGATCAAGGAGAAAATTGTATGCTGCTAAAGTAGTCATTTTTTGCGAACTATAGTTCTTGCATACAATCGAAAATAAGTTTATTCGAAATTTGACACCCTAAGATAGCTGGCTTATTATAATATTATTGTCCATAATGATTAGTTTTTTAACCGTTCTTAATCAATGTTTTCAAAACGAGAACGCGTTTCGAAATTTCAGTTGAAATTTTCTATATTAGTCCACCAATTGTATATCCTGCAAGGGTTGCTGGTATTTGTGTTTTTTAAAGTAATTTAAAGCACACAGAGCAATTTAGTACTGTCGAGGTTCGTTTCGACTCAGTTTAATCTAAGGAAAAACGGTCATGTTTTAGATATATCTGGTATTTCTTGATGTTCATTTGAATTCCTACGCACTTGAAATTCTCAGGTCAAACCAGTACTATACTGCCAACAAAAATCAATATCAACAAGAATATTGCGAAATTAGTACCTTCTGAAAACGACAAGTTTGATTTTGCCATTATGAAATCCCAGGCGTAAACAGGTTTGAAAATGACATTATTCTTAACAAAAAAAGGGCAAATTTATCTATAAAATTCCATCCTACAAATAGTTGGCATGTCTTTCCACGGATCATAGCAATATACTTGTTTGGCAGTAGCTTGTTTTACCACACCAAGTATGACGAGGCATAACCAAGTGTATATTAAGTACACTCGACACGCTATCAAGTTTATATATCACGTCATGCAACAATGACCTCCAGAAAGTGTCTGTCCGCAGTCGATTACGAAAGGATACGCGAAATTAGCTGCGGGTACCTGCAGTACTTGTTCATACCAGGTATTTTCAATATAAGCAAGGCTTCTTTGTGGCGGGTACTGAATGATCAAATATGCAGAGCCAACTAAAACGGTCTACATGTTGACATGACGGTTAGTGGATTCGTTTTACACAAGCAAGTGTCCTTATGTGCCACTTGAGACCATCCACTGGGAATGTCTATCAATGTTCTGTGCGAACATAAATGAGAAAAAGATGCAGATATTTGAACGCCATTATCAACGGCCATAAGCAAACCATTCTTAAGTGCACAAACTACGCGGAAAAGTTTTTATATGTTAAGGAATTTATTAAGTATCGTTGTTTATTCTGAAAGGGCATTTACTTCTGCAATGAGTTCTTATTTTTAGACAAGCTTACGAATCCGACCCGGATGGCAACATGTGAAAAGAATTTCCCGCGTTATCATAATGTGCCGATGGTAACCTTGAAGAAGTGTCTTTGATTAATGCATAAAATGAATATTAAATTCGGAGATTGGAGAGCCTAGCGGTCGAATACAGACACCATAAACAGCAAAGTCTTCGTCATCATTGTGAAAAATGTCTTCCATTACAAGGACATCCATTGACGTAAGTTTGATACCATAATTTTACACGATAATGGCCCCGTACATCGTTCTAAAGGCGTATGAGCCAAATAAGACTTTTAACCAGATTTAAATCTTTGGAAAACTGTCAGCCTCTCCATGTTTTCATTCTTGCTTAAAGTTCTGATCACAATCCTATAAAAATGACTTCGTACTCATCAGAAGAAATTGACACAAGACAAAAAAAGTAATTCCGCATGCAATGAGAGCTTGATTTTGTGCTTGCTGATCACACGAAAACTATTTGGTATTAAGTTCCGCAAATATTCCCATGTTACAATTGAAAAGTCAACTGGGCGAACGCACGTTTTCGGTAATTCGTCCTCAGGCCAATACAATTACATGAACGAATGAAAATGTACAAAATCAACAGTGTTTATAGATGCCTCAAGGGCTATTAAGTCACTAACACTCATCATCCCCACGCCGCCCGCATGAGAAGGTCGGCGGTTGTTAGTCGTCAGAGCTAGGGGAGGGGGGTAAGAGAGTCTTTGAGTAATGATCTTGGGTTGAGTACACGGAGTACCCATCATCGTGATTAGGGATTTGAGGCGGCATGGCTTCATCACTTGGGGTTGGCGTTGACCACGGCAGCGAAAGCGCTTGTATCAGAGTTTTCTGACAGCATAACACCGGATTCACTAACCGTATAGCTACTGCCTCTGCCGTTGCTAGTATCCGTTGGCGTAGGCCTTTAGAGAAGCATGTTGGTGTCCGGTAGACGACCTGAAATGCCTTCTTGGCATCGACTCGGTGGTTCGTATCGATTAAATGCGCGAGAATAGAACTCGAAATCGACCGGGTCTCACCTCTGTCTAGCCAGGCGGGCATACGTTCAAGTACCCTCTTTACCAGGCGTCTCGTTGTGCGGCCGATGTATCCTGCTCCACAGGAGCAAGTGAATGAATAAATGCACATTGATGCGGCCTCCAACGGTAGTCTGTCTTTACCTCCCAGACGTAGGAGGGGAGAGTTTGTGAAGCATACGCGTAAATTCGCCGCAGGGAATGCCCTCGTGATAGCTGTAGTTAAGCGTCGTCGGACTAGTTCGCTCTCTGCGTCTCCTCTAAAAGGCAATCTTATGAATACATCTTTCTTTTCCGCAGTCGCAACAGTGGGCTTTTTAACGCGTTCCCCAATATTTCGGAGGATAAATCTATCTGGGTATCCGTTCTCCCGAAGTGTGTTCCGCAGCTGTTGAAGTTCTTCTTCAATAGCTTCAGGTGAGCAGATGCGTCTCACTCTAGCCGCCAATCCCTGGACTAAATTCCGTTTGATGTTTAGGGGGACAAAACTGTGGAAATTAACGTATTGTCCCGTCCAGGTTTTCTTTCGGAACACCCTGCGCTGGATAGACCCATCCTCTTGCCTGTGCAGAAGGATATCGAGAAAGGCAAGTTCGTTATCTGCCTCGGTCTCTGCAGTGAACTTTAGCGAGGGGTGTGCACTGTTGAACTTTTGGACAAGCTCCTCGGTATCGGTGGTACCATCCGTCAGGCATAAGATATGGTCCAAGTACCGACGGTAGAAGACGAGGCCATTAATGGTCTCTTGCAAGCTTGTTTTCTCGACTTTGCCCATAAAAACATTTGCAAGGAACGGTCCAAGCGGTGATCCCATTGCCACACCATCTACCTGCCTGTATAATTGACCATTGCACAGAAATTGGACGTTTTGTGTGCAAAGCGCCAGTAGTTCTCTTAGCGTTTTCACAGGCATGTCTATGGCGTAGTTCGTATCATGAATAACATCACAAAGATAGTTTATTGTTTCTGCCACGGGTACGTTGGTAAACAGCGATGATACATCCAGTGATAACATCCTCCGTCCGCCAACGTTCATATTTTTAATAGCTTCGACGAACTCAAAGGAGTCTTTTAAACTTCGAGGGTATAGGTAACTTTGCAATGGCTTTAGTCTTTCCACTAGCCATTTTGCAACGGTATGATAGGGCGAATTCCTCATATACAAGATTATACGTAGAGGCAGCCCTTGTTTGTGAATTTTAGGAAGGCCGTACATTCTTGGTATTGTCGAGCCCACCGGTCTCAGTCGTTCATACTCTTTGATATTATTATTATTATCTTTTTAATTTCATGCGTCCCCCTTTGATTACGCATCTTTAACGTTACCCCTTTTTAGCCGAATTGCAATGTAGCCATTTTCTGTAATTCTAATTTTCAGTTAAAATTAATTGTGCTTACGTTAGTTAACACTAATTTGCAAATCCACCTATGTGTTCTTTTTAAGAGCAGTCCCTTTTTCACTGACGTAAGACTTTGGGAACGCACTTTGGCGAATTTTGCGTTACGGGGTTTTTTGTGCCACCTCAAATTCTTTCATGAGTAAGCACATGTACCGCATTAACAATTGAAAAGTAAGGCGAAACGTTTTCGGATAATCTACAGTTGAGATTATTTAGCAGTCTTTCTGGACTCCATAGAGAGGACAACTTAACACCAAGTCGCTTTCGACATTTTTGATATAGTTGACTCCAACGAGACACAGAATAAAAGGCGAACACCAAAACGTGATAATGGATGGACTGTAACATCCGGGTGCTGTTTTTTTTTCGAATGAAAGACGTTCACGTGGGGCTTTATCGTGCTAATTGAACCTCTGACCCACATTCTGTCCTCCACCTAGGCACTCGAGATGGCCTAAATGCGCAATTCGCCACTCAGTCTGGAGGACGGTCGACTTTAAAAGGAGGCGCAAGTATGACCGCAGCCACTGCCAGCGATCTGACCAATGACCCCTCGATTGTGTGGTATGGGAAGATCTATTATATCTTGCCTTTTAGCTCGGGGGGCATAAGTACCAATTATGTAAGTTAGAGGTAGGAATTTTAACGGATGTCGGGTGGCTGTGGGAAAGATACCAGCAATCGCTAGTTGTTTACTGCAGCGTCCTTGCTGTGAAATTGGTGTAAATTAAGAATTATCTTGGGCGGCAAATTATGGCTGTAATTGTTCACTACCTGCGAGATCAAGAGTATACCGCAGGTTTTTCAAAACAACCTATAGTCTTTAAATACGTATGCTGTTTCACCTAGGCGCACGCTATAGCACCTGAAGCATTGTTAAGTTATGCCATATCCCCAGTAGACAGAAAATTTAAGTGCATATCGGGCGATTTTCAGTTTCGTATCTGAATTATATCTGCGCTTTTGATAAAGCCCTCTTTAATGAGCTAGTAAATATGGTCCCACCAACAGCTGCCTATAATTCTCAAGGTCCTGAGGCAGTTTGAACTGATGTTTTTTGCCTAAATGCAGCGTACTATAATAATTTAGTTGCTTCTGGTAAATTTAAGGGTCTCCAAAATTTGTTTTGTCGCCCAAAATGCAAGACAAAATACTGTAAAGAATCATAGAATGACCAAGGACCAAAACGTGCAAGACAGTGGAATGCTTGGCCACGGCACAGCGGAGGTGGAGGGCATTCGAGGGGATGAAACACACACACACAGACAAACAAGAGGAGGTGGAGGAGGAGGAGGCAAGATCGTCTTGTAAAAAAAATAAACTGTCATTTCGTCAAGATGTGAGTTGAAAGTTTGCCGGGTCCTCCGCCTTCACCGCAGCGACTATTGCCTGAAGTCCCTGAGGCAGTTCCACGGAGAGCAACTGCTCAAACTTGTGGAAGTAGCCCAGAAAGTTGCGTAGCAGGGGAGAAAGGCCGGTGTTCGCCAACTGCGCCTGGAAGCCACGACCTGCATTCTGTCCGTGTCGCGCATTTTGCGCATTAAGGAAGTACCGCCGAATAGCACGACGGGCCTGAAGTCGCAGGCAGACAGGCTGGTAGCTACGGTTGTCTGAGAAGGAGGGATGCTTGAGGTGCAGCGAGGAGGCCGGAAATACCGGAGCCGATGGCGGACACTTATGTTCTCTTGGCCTCCTCTTGTGTCCCTCTTCCTCCCTCTCCGCGTCCTCTCCCTCCTGCCCCTCTTCATTCTTCTCCTTTTTCCGCTCCTCCTTGTCCTCCTCCATCCGGCGCTGAAGCTGGGGGGAGCTGGAGGTTGCCTGACAGATGCAGACTCCGATCTCCGGTGGTGCCTCCGGTAGAGGAGTTCCCGAGAGGGCTGATCTCCACAAACCCTGGAAGTACGACCACCGCCGAAGGAGACCGAGGGGTTCCTAATTGTCAAGAAAGCATATGAATTAATTACGTAGCTGCCGGCGGAAAAGCAACACAGTCATCTCACCCATCCCTACTCGGTACTACGCAGGGCTATTCAAATGTCAGTGAAGAGACAATCCTCGGACACATCCCTGTCACCTTAGGAGATATGTATGAGGCAGGTAGGGACGGGGAACAGTTCAAGCTCACGGCATTTAATAAAAGATCTCACCATACTGTCAGATGTTTGTGAACCGCCAACACCTGACGAGGTTAAGAAAGACTAAGTCCTGCGTTTTGCATTCTGCAAACTCAACACGTCTTGAGGGAGTCATATGGTAACAACAGTTCTTACAGGTAGTCAGCAACCTAAACATACCTAGCCAACATCGGATTAAAACCGCAAATACAACGGTCAGCAGTTTAGCCGACAGTCACCATTCCGTCATGGTAGACGGGATTTGAAGAAATACTTGAGATTACGAAAGCGTGCAAAAATGGACAAGCAATTTTGAACCAGTGTCCTCCGTTATGCAGTCAGGATAGATTTTGCGTACTGCCGTTATCAAGAAAGCCTTTCAGGCAGCAATCAGAAACCCGATGTTATGACTGACTATCAAACGCGCTATCATTTTCCCACGTTTTTTTCCGAACTTCATCTCAAATATATCAGAAACCACGTGACTCCACGTGGTGGGCACGCCATCTTTCCCTGCTGTCATTTTGTTGCCCAAACTAACCACTCGGATTTGTTCTGTTGCCGACGAAAAAAACTGTTTCCCCCTCAAAAGTGTTGCCAGACATTAGTGCGATAAAATTGTATTTGCCAAACGTTTGGTGAGTTTGTCCACTGGGAATTCAACCTCTCTCACAGACTATGGTAAAACAATTGTCACACTCGAAGCCATTTTACTGTATCGAATTATGATTAGTTTGGTCTGTTCACTTTTAACTACCCGCGGCCTAGTGGACAGACCCCAAATGAAAGTTGTTTAGGCTGACTATGGCTAGACCTGACTGCAAAGTTGTTTTGATAAGTTGGAAAAAAGCTAAAATCTGGTAACTTTCAGCATAGCAAGCTGAGAAGCTCAAGAGGTCTGACTTTGAAAAGCGACCTATGGAATTGCATCGAGGGCATCGAATTGCCGCACAATGTTTATCCACCGCTACATTTGCATACATGGCAACTACGCACTTGATATGGTAAATGTGGAATTGCAAAAATTGGTTTGAAAACACATATCACCACTAGCAAACGACACAACATAGGTTCTACTTTACCTGCAGACTTCTGACCACAGTTGGATTCATAATAAATGCCGGCAGTCCAATCAGATCAAGAATTAAACAAACTTCAAGACTTTTCTTAGACGAAACTTAGCGGATAGTTATTTTGGTTCTGGTGTTCATTATATTATTTACACAAGCATGAATAAATATGTCCACCATATTTGACTCATATTCTGGACAGGGAATCCGACTGCTGCGAGCGACAAAATTTACCATGTGACCTACAAGCTGGACGCTGTGCCGATGACTTTTACATATACCGACTTATCCTGTACAGATTTTCGTGGGATCGAACTCACTTTCACCCCTCTCACTCACCGGTTCCCAATCGGAAGGGGGCACAGGAACAGTAGCTAGCAGGAACAGGCAGACTGTCTTCGTGTGCCGCTAGCTGACTGTTGAGGTATTCCAACCATCTTGTCGAAAGTTTGGCTGTAATAATATTCAAGGCTAGGGCCGGCATTCAACGCTTGTCACACACGATCTTGTCGCCATAAGAATTTAAAGTGTCGTCAGTAAGGGTGCTTTTTATTTGCATACAGTAGGTGGACTAACTCATGAAATGTCATCCGAAATTCCCAAATGCGTTTTCGTTTCGAAAATATTAATTAAGTGGAGTTGTAAAATAAATCGACTTGCAACATAACTGTGTAATAGTTCGGTAACCTCTGGCCGCCGACTTTTTAATGGACTTCCTTCCGGCGGCAAGCAAAAATTACAGTCTGTAGAAATGACGCTTAATTAGCATGACATTTTCTGATTGCTTTTAAATGCTCCTAAATATCCAATTATATTTCTTGCAAAACGTGCATAAAAAATATTCATTCTTTCGCGTTTTCCATAGAGCATTATGTCTTCTTCCAAGCCCGTACTCGATGGAAGGGTATAATTCGGATTTCAAGAACTTGTCCATTTTTAGAGTAATTTTGAACCCTCCCTACCGTCACACTTGGATTCAGCGTTTATAATCTACAAGTCGTATATTTTACGTGTACGGAAAACCACACATTTCTCTACGGTAATAAAGGCGGACCATATAGGGTTCATTAAATTTAGCAGTTGATTTGATTCATATTGCTAACTGTACAAGCGTGAGCATACTGTGCCAACGGTTGTCTTCAGAAAATGTCCTCAGTTAATGCATTAGCTGTCTATTAAAGTTGACGAACAGCGAGTTTGCCGGTCAAATACAGACATCATAAACAACACGGTCATCGTCGGCACTGTAAAGGATGTTTTCTATTGCAACGACATCCACCGGCGTGGGTTCGATACCGCAATTTTACACGATAATGCCCCTGTACATCGTTCCAAAGGCGTATGTGTCTGATAACTTTTTCAACATAATTTGATTTTTGGGACAGCCATCAGGCTCTCTATATTTTCATCCTTTCTTACAGCACGGATCTCCGTCCTATCAAAAACATGATTGCACTCATTACAAGACATGGACAAAAGGAAAAAACGGAAATCAACATGCAATGAAAGCTGGAGTGTGTGCTCGGAAATCAGAAGGAACCCTCTACCATAGACAACTTGGGCATTTCCATGTCTGAGAGATTTTTTGTTGTATTAAACGCAAATGGACAATGAACAAGGTACTGATCGTTTGTGCTTATTACCAGTCTCCATTTCTTGCGCTCTGTTTCATTACGTATCCTTAAAATTAGTCCAATTTCGGCGATGTTCAGTATAGTCATTTTCTGCAATTCCACTTTTCAGTAAAAATTATTTTTGCTTGCTTCATTTAATAGTAAATTGCAAATCCAACTTTGTCTTCTTTTTAAGAACAGTCCGTTTTCACTGTCGTAAGACTTTGGGAACGACTTTTGACGAATTTTGCGTTACGCGGATTTTCTGCCGCCACCTCCTGTCATTTCATGGGTAAGCACATGTACCCTATTACAAATAAACAAACATGCGAACCTTTTTCGGATAATCGACAGGGTCGTTTTTATGCAATCTTTTTGGACACCATAGAGTGAACAATTGAACACCATGTCGCTTTAAACTTTTTTGATATAGCTGACTGCAGCGAGGAAATGAGTACAAGGCGAACAACGAAAGGTGCTAATGGAATGCTGTTTTTCGTATGAAAGACGTTCACGTGGGGTCTTTATCGTGCTAATTGAACCTCCGACCTATATTCTGTCCTCCATCTGGGCACTGGAAACGACCCTTAGACCCTAAGGAGGCGCAAAGATGACAGCGGGCACTACTGGCGATCTGACCAATAAACCCTCGATTACATGTTAGGTGATGATCTATCATATTTTGCCTCTTCAACTTGGGAAGCGAATGAATTAATATTCTTATGCATGTTTTCCAGAAACTATAATTGAACTTTTAGGGGCATCAAAAATACGTGCAAAAAAATCACGCTACTTAATTAATCCCTGTTACAGAGTGTGGTTGCAGCCGAAAGGCAGTTGTTTTGAAAGCCGGCATCCCCAGGTATCTGAATTATTATAGAACTAATTCAGGGGCCGTTTAATTTTACAACCCTGTCTAATTAATATTTTCGAAACGAAAACGCATTTCGAATTTTCGGCTGGCATGTCATGAGTCAGCCCACCTACTATAGGTGCGTTTATTCCAATGAGATATTCTTTTTAGGTCTCTCATGCACGATAATGCCATAACGGCCCCGGTAATATGTGGGGGTTGTGGTAAGGGCAACTAATTCTCAACGACTCAAAGTCCAACCTTTGCATTCCCAATAGTTTTTCTTTTGCATGATATAAGTTGACCTCGTCACCTGTGTGTTCACTGGTTCCACCTGTAAAAGCCCCATATTACCTACCAAATGGTTGTGGTTTGTTTACTTCAGGTAGAGCTACATAACCACATTTGACCAAAGCCACTTTAAAAAGAAGCCATTGAGTTCAACTGTCATATCCGAATAGCCCGTCCGCTGAGAACGTTTCAGGGAACAACACTTAACGAGTCGTGTTAGACTTATATTTGTGATAACTGCTCTGATTTTCCGTGGGGAAGGACCCCCGAGCGTTCCCCTTTGGGATTTAATGGTAAGCCTACTTGACGTCTCATGTCACACCAATACGGACCCGCGCATCCACGTTACTTGTTGATCAGGAGGTGTGATGATGCAATTTAGGTGCAAGTTGATGTCCCTATGTCTTGACGCCCGGCGCACGTATGGGAGAAGGATAGGATGCGCTAGACGCGACGCAAGTTGTTATCCCTGTGGAGCCGTGGAGCACACAGCGGACATCATCAAAATCGACAATCGAACAGTTTTGAGAGGCTTTTGGTCACAGCGTGCCGGCTGGTAGGGTACGGTGTATCTGGACTGATCTGCCGGAGGTTCTTACAATAGCGTATATGATCAAATGGGTCCATGCGATTCTGAATGCTCATGGGCACTGAAGGAAGCTGAAATGTGTGTGGCTACTATTAACAGCCTCAATGCTATGCATTTTAACGATCAAACAAGACCGTTGATTTTTACAAATGAGCGACCACAGTAAAAACAGTATGGTACTCTGAATAGTGCATTGACGCGGGCTAAGGCTATTAGCGGCATTTGAGTTGGCAATGCGATAGGTCGGAGTGTTTTTCAAATAAAAATATAAAACACGGTTTTTGTAATTGTTGCTGAGTGACAAGCTAAAGTCGTTTAGAAACATCCTATTACAAATCAGGAGCCTGTTTAACAGTTTACCAGTTCACATTTGAGGAAAAAACACTGTAGTGGTGTCATATTTCAAATATTAACGAACAAGGTGTCAATACTCAATTTACAAAATCTTGGTGAACGCGTCCAATGCCAATGAGCATTTGTTTATTTTTTTCGGAAAATAAATTTCTGACATTAATTCTGAAAACTGGACCTCATACCTATAGTAGTTTTTTTCGCTTTATGTCGTCATTTTTAACGATGAATGCTGTTGGAACTTCTCCTTTGATCGACTGATCTAAGCGCCCAAGAGCATGTTCGTTCTTTGCTTGTTTCTGCATTCCAAACAATTATTGAAATAGACGCAAAGTACGACGAAGTAATTTGGTTGGCAGTTATTGCGTAAGAGCAGATTGTAACCCTATGTGTAATAAAGAGCAGCCAAGTAATGCGCCTTAAATTCAATTTCATCTTGCAGCTAGGACAGAATTGTCTATGGTTACCTTGAGAATAATTAAACATACGTTTTGCATTACAGTAGTTTGTCACAAAATTCTCGCGTTGGTTGCGACACCAGATGTGTTTCAGTTGTTGTTTATGCAATTTTCGATGTCATGTAGGTTTTTGGCGAATAATCGAGCATTTGACAAGCATAATTCAAACAAAATTTTTTCTTCCCTCTGTGAAATTTGTAGTTCATTTTGCAGATCATTTGGCGGTTTTGAATGCACATCTGATATAGTGCCGACAAGGATAAGGATAGTTGAATTGTCATCTTTTGCGAGCTTGCTCCTACCACTAAGTAAACTCCCGGCCAATGTCTACGGCGTATGCAACATTTTGTTCAGAGGTAGTGAAGCAAGTTCGATGTTTGGTTGACACAACCTCTTCTCTCAGTGGCCACGTAGTTGTTTGGATATGTCTAAGGAGTTTTCATAAACGGAAAATTGTCATTCCGATGTTATGCCATCTTCATAACTCATATAAATAATGTTATACGCCTCCGTGACATTGCTCGCAACACAACTTTTTAATAGTGCCTTACTTTGTTCTTCTCAAAAATACCCAGGATTTAGCGTGCTCTGCTGACTATTTCTTTAAATTTCACTACGCCATATGACCGGAAAAACGGACGAGCCCTTCCGGTCTTGTCTTGTTCTTCCCTTTAACACATTTCAATACAAACCGCGAGTAAACATTGCGGTCTCCCGGCAAATCCATTTTGCTGACAACAGCAGCTGTCATCTGTGTGTAAACGCACAGGCAAAATGTGACCTGACAGGTCAGAAGGTCATACCCGTTGATGTCTTTTGCGCAGGGTGCGAAAGCAATGCACAGTTGGTCTGCCTCTTTTATGAAAATCCGTCTATGGACGCGATTTATTGGGGATCCAGGAGTCATGGATGTCTTAATTTAATGATGTTAACTAAAGTCCAGTCCTGCAACTAATGGGTAAATTTCGACCTTCAATTCTCCACTAGAATTTTCCATGTCTCACTTTAGAAAGCAACAGTCAGTATGAATATCAAATGCTTAAAACACATACACTAGTTTTAAAAAAAATTGTTCACATAACTTTAGGGAGGACCCATAACACCCTTTAGCTCCGGTTTGATGCATGATTAAGTTATCCTTCAACGTATGCCGAATAGTTAATGGGTTTTCATTAAATACCGACGGCATGTGACTCAAATGGATCTGTGAGGTATCGCAGAAAGCCAAAAGTGACTCGGACCTATACATACGTAACGAAGTCATTTGGTAGTTTCCGACCAAATTAGCACCTGCAGTACTCATAATACAGAAACCGAAACAAAGCATTAATGGACACTTTGCTGAGCCGATCGACTAATATTTAGGCAGCTTAATAAAAATAATATAAAACCTAATATTTATCTTTGAGATTGCGATGTTTAGAATATCTCAACGTTTGCTTACGCGATTATGTATTCTACATATTACAGATGACCTTTTCATTGTTCATATTTTGTGATCTTTCACGAAACGTCCACATTAACCTTCATCCGGATCTCAGCTTTTATAACATTAGTGCTTGTGCGAACCATTTAAACCAAAATACTCTTTAACTGCTTTTAATATCGGGAATTTCACTGAATACTATCTGTAATGCGATGAGATTTTATATTCCTGCGACTCACCGAGACAACGTGCGATACTAGTTACAGTTGTAGGCAGAAGCTGAGGGAACGTTATAAAATCTCAAAGTCAACCACTTTATGCCAATAGTAATATTAGAGCAAATGTTCATAAAAATACGGTCATGATTCAGAATGTATTAGTGCGATGCTGGGCACTCAGTCTGTGATCTGATACATTTTAGTCAACACGGGCAAAATAAAAAATGCCCATCCAAAATTTCTCGTTTTAGCCGTTGTCCACAATCGATGGTAGCTCTCTGTACATAACTAAATTATATGAAGATGGCAGGTGCTTTGGGAAAAGTAGGAGCTTACTTTTATACATAAATCAGTAGTCTGACGACGAGCTGGAGAACCAGTTTTCAAAATTTACTAATAGTGTTCCTACTTTTTCCAAAGAACATGTCACTTTCAAATTATATCTCTTGGGATGCCTGCCTTTCAGTGCATATGTACGAATTTTGAGCACAGTGTTTTGCTAAACGCTAGAAGATGGGAAAAATGTGCAGTTTGCAAAATTCTGACGCGAGAACCGCTGTCGAAACAACAGGAGTCTTCCGAATTCTGTGCGGAAAAGCCTGCGATAATGTCAGCTCAAGGCTATAGAACTGCCATCCGTTATGATCAACAGATTCTGGGAGCATTTACACCTGATGCACCCCTCCGACTTCGTAAATTCACACAACAAAAGAAACAACATATGCAATTTTGCATTGACCGACTTTCTTTCCAGGTATTTAAAGTTCTACAG